AAGTGGATTTGAGATGCATTTTTTCTTGGCTTCTTGCATGTATCGTGGGGGCATTTACACTGTTTTCTGTCCATATCACACTATCATATGGTCTCATGTATTATATGTTGCAGGATAAGATTTGTGATATTCTGTATTTTGGTTATTGTCAACAAATGCCATAAAGAGACCAAAAACAATAACTCAATTTTTTCAGACTTTTCTATCGGGGGAGTAAATGGGAGTAAATCATTGATTAATACTCATTTCATCTAGTGATTTTATCTATAGCAGCAGGACGTGTGTGTTTATGGTAATGAAGAAATATCCCCCAGTGCAACAGTGTGGCTCACTGATGTGTTTTTAATAGTTCTGGACAACAATGGAGGTCTATAAGATATACAGGCTTCAAAGACAGTACAATTCCTTGTTGGTTTTTTTATTAGTTGACAAAAAAACTTCAATATCACTAGACAACCTTTAATATGATAATTCCTCCCTGCAGAGGAGTCGGTGAGCAGCCTGCCAGCCTGGGATCTCCCCACTGTCCCGGAGTCTCTCCTGTCCACGGTGGGCGACCATGACGTCACTCTTCCTGCCAATGTCACCAGCCCTTTCTCCACCCACCAATGGAACACCACTGCACCTGCACGCACCAGAAACACCTCACAACAGACGACCAAGTCAACCACCACCATGACCACATCTCTGTCACCCACAACCACCTCAACCATACCGTTATCCACCATGGCAATAGCACAAACACCATCAGGATCCCCCACGGTCTCTCCAACCACTAGCCAGGACACTGTGACCAAGGACAGCCTTCAGCTGACGACAGTAACCACGACGACGCCCTCAACTACCACTTCTACTGTGACCGCTGCTGAGATGACCCAGATGGTAACCACTGGGAGCGGCGTAACAGTACCACCAAAAACCAGCACTGCGACAACCATGGAGGAAACGACAAGCCTCAAACTGACCACAGCGGCTACAACTCAGCCTACAACCACCACTACAACCACACCTGCCCCTACTACCACCACTACTACTGTCCCCCCAACCACCACCACTACTACTCCTCCTCCAACCACTACTACAACTACTACACCTGCAACTACTACTACCACCACCACTACTACTACCACTACCACCACAACAACAAAGGTACCTGCCACCACTGTGTTCATTCCAGTCCAAACCACGCCGCCTTCCACCACAACTACAGAACCTCCATCCAGTACCAGCGCAGAGGAGGGTCCTTTACCGTGCAACGTGACCGAGAAGTACTGGGTCAGAACAGGTACGAGACTAAAACTCCATCACTGGGATTTATCTGGAATAAGAAAACTATAATAAAATAACGTTCCATTTCATGTGTGGGAAATAAAGAACATACTGTTGAATAAAAACAGTAAGATAAATGGCTAAAACATCAGGGCTTTATTTGAAACAGCACTTTACTGCTACTTTGGTCGCACACCCCTTATCAAATTACTTACAACACACTTAACATTAGGTACAGGCAGGCCTTAGCCATTCTTCTGGAAAAATTATTACTTGGTAATGATGAATACACGTGAAATGCCATTGTAGAAGTTCAGGCTCAATATACTTTTTGTGTTCAAGACGTAATTACATGTGCACAAATTAATTAAAAGGGCAGATTTTCCTCAAGCATAAACACTTTAATAAGAAGCATGAGACTGCAACCTTTGATTACATTTAGCAGAGTACTAAGGCACTTACTGGGTTGGCAGCAGCTTTGCAAAGTGACCAAGGAGACATTAAATTGGAGGCCAGAGCCCAAGCTCCTGTGTCCTTAAGTGTCCTTAGGCAAGATATTGAATCCCTACCAGCTTCATGGTGCTCAGGGGGATCAATAAAGTATGGCATTATGTCGTTTTTTGAGGTAACAAGGGAGGTATGGTGAAAGTGAGATTTGTCACAGAATATTAAGCTAAATATGAACACACTGAACACAGTCACTGAGCAATGATTCTTATACTTCTACCTACAGTTCTGTCCATTGAGCTGCGTAGGAACCGCCTGGACCTGATCCTGAAACAGAACCTCTCTAAAGGACTGAGCCACGCCCTGCAGAGAGCTCTGAATGACTCCACAGCCAACGCACAGGTCAGTGTCTCTTACAAGTTCAACTATAGTAACCGCAGGTTAGTGGCTAGTTAACAGTTCAGGAGATTAGTTTAGAAGAACCACCCGTATGTCTATTTATGTGTCAGTGGCTAATAAACAAATGACTAGACTTTGTCAGCAACTGATAAACGGTTGGTAAATAATACAAATTAATTTAATTTGCATCAGTGCATGTTCCAGCCTTTACTGAACATATTAATCATGCTTCTAGGAATACGTCCAAGTACACACTGGTCAGTGACCAGTAACTACACGTCACAGTCTAATAAAACATAGTTGTGTTGGTAGCTAGCTAGTAAACACAGATCAGTGGCTAGTAAACACATGTCAGTGGTTACTGAACACAAGTCAGTGACTAGTCTAAGAAAGGGCCACAGGCTATGAAACACAGATTAGTGGCTAGTAAATACACATCACTGGCTAGTAAACATGGATCAGTGGCTAGTAAATCCGTTCAGTGGTGCTCATAGGCAGATAATGTTTTAATATTGAGTTGTCTCTTCAGAAGAATATGTCTGCTTCAATACACTGAGTAAAATTGCTTTTCCATCTGATGCTAATAAGATACTCTGATCTTTACATTGAAATTTTTGCCACAGTGTTGGCTCTTCATATGTGCAGATATCCTACTCTCGAGTGTGTCATCATTTTACAATACTCTACAGTATTCATCGTTTTCTCCTCCTGCTCATTCACCTCACAAGGACTCATCTGAATGGTGCTAGAGACAAACAGAGAGGTGACTAATGCATACAACGTTCAAGTCTGAATAGAAATAACCTGTTGAATAGTCAGGCAGTGTTTGCTTAGAGGGGTTATTTAAAACCTGGCCCTGCTCTTGTCACAAGTGAATACCACACAGCACTCTACCACACCGAAACCGAATAAAACCACACACACCACACGACAACAATCACAACAACGACTCCTCCCCCAGATAGAACACTTCCCCGGGGATGAGTGAGGAAGGTGCCCTTTTTCTCATTTTCTAGAGCGGCAAAATTTAATCTAGCGAAAACTTAAATTCAACCGAAACCCCCACAACCCGCAATCCCACCTCTTCTGCCATATTTTCTGCAAGTCAATGGTGTCTTTCTACCTCCCTCACGATATCGATCCCCATAGCCTCAAATACACACCTGCACTCCGCGTCTCCTACCGCTCTCTCGATCTTCCTTCTCTCGTCTCTCTTTCGCGTCTTTGCCCTTACTCTATATATTTTCCCTTTCTACCGTTATCAAGTATTTCCAATTCGAGAATGGCCCACTTTTCTCCAGAGCTGGGACCGAGTGTAAGTTGGATGCTCGCAGAGTGAATGTCATAATGGTAGTGTTCAGGTTCATAGTTCAGATCGCGTGTTAGGGGGGTTGCGTGTGTGTGTGTGTGTGTGTGTGTGTGGTGTTTCTGTGTCGGTGGTAGGTAGAGGTGTTGGAGCGCGGTCATCGTCGGCGGTCGTCCTTGGTTGTTCTCAGAACTTGTGTACCCAAAATCAGCAGCCACCACCATTATCTACGGCAAGTAGCTGAGCCGACTCTGCCCTTCTCACACCCCATCTCTCCTGGCTGCCTCCTATACGCATGAGTCGGCCCAGCCCCTTGAATCATGCTTATGGTCGATTGATTTCTGCCTCTTATACCCTGGCGAGGTCTGTAAGCTGTCTACATTAAGCGCTATGTGCCTGATAGTAGAATCTCAGCTGCCTTTTGTTTGGTGGCAATTAGCTTTTGCCTTTCCACCACCTTGGTCTAGCGAGATGTCTGACCTGCCGTTGCGGGCGCTTTTTCTATTCCCCAGCCTGGTTCCTGTCTGAACATTTCAGTATCACTGTTTTTGACGCTCCCTGTGCTCTGCGTGTTTTTATTTTTTAGTCCAGATTGTTTTGAGCCTGCACAGGGATACTCATGTCTCTAGCCTCCAGTCCACTTTCAAATCTACCCCCTGGCCACAACACCACACACACACACAACACACAACACATAAAACCTGGCCCTGCTCTTGTCACAAGTGAATACCACACAGCACTCTACCACACCGAAACCGAATAAAACCACACACACCACACGACAACAATCACAACAACGACTCCTCCCCCAGATAGAACACTTCCCCGGGGATGAGTGAGGAAGGTGCCCTTTTTCTCATTTTCTAGAGCGGCAAAATTTAATCTAGCGAAAACTTAAATTCAACCGAAACCCCCACAACCCGCAATCCCACCTCTTCTGCCATATTTTCTGCAAGTCAATGGTGTCTTTCTACCTCCCTCACGATATCGATCCCCATAGCCTCAAATACACACCTGCACTCCGCGTCTCCTACCGCTCTCTCGATCTTCCTTCTCTCGTCTCTCTTTCGCGTCTTTGCCCTTACTCTATATATTTTCCCTTTCTACCGTTATCAAGTATTTCCAATTCGAGAATGGCCCACTTTTCTCCAGAGCTGGGACCGAGTGTAAGTTGGATGCTCGCAGAGTGAATGTCATAATGGTAGTGTTCAGGTTCATAGTTCAGATCGCGTGTTAGGGGGGTTGCGTGTGTGTGTGTGTGTGTGTGTGTGTGGTGTTTCTGTGTCGGTGGTAGGTAGAGGTGTTGGAGCGCGGTCATCGTCGGCGGTCGTCCTTGGTTGTTCTCAGAACTTGTGTACCCAAAATCAGCAGCCACCACCATTATCTACGGCAAGTAGCTGAGCCGACTCTGCCCTTCTCACACCCCATCTCTCCTGGCTGCCTCCTATACGCATGAGTCGGCCCAGCCCCTTGAATCATGCTTATGGTCGATTGATTTCTGCCTCTTATACCCTGGCGAGGTCTGTAAGCTGTCTACATTAAGCGCTATGTGCCTGATAGTAGAATCTCAGCTGCCTTTTGTTTGGTGGCAATTAGCTTTTGCCTTTCCACCACCTTGGTCTAGCGAGATGTCTGACCTGCCGTTGCGGGCGCTTTTTCTATTCCCCAGCCTGGTTCCTGTCTGAACATTTCAGTATCACTGTTTTTGACGCTCCCTGTGCTCTGCGTGTTTTTATTTAGTCCAGATTGTTTGGAGCCTTGCACAGGGGAGTAGTCATGTCCTAAGCCTCCAGTCCACTTTCTCTACCCCCTGGCCACAACACAAGCACACACACAACACACAACACACACCACACACACACAACTCATCACTTCTCATCCTCCTCCATCAGATAACATTAGACTATTATTTGGCACTGTGGATCAGTCTATTGAGAGACAGCAGTAGCACCAACAAGGAATAAAAACTGGCCAGAGCTTTAAAAGCCATGACATGTAGGCAGTGTTTTGAGGCATTGTTAATGACCAAATATTGGCTTTAACAGAGATAGGGATTGTGAAACAGCATGAAATTAGCATGCAGCAGTATTTAATGTTTTGCATCATTGAACAATATGGTTAACCATAATTGCTTGCAAAATCTGCCAGTTTTACAGCTTTAAAGTGTTGGCAAGGAGAAAGAAGTGACAGCAGAGGGCAAGGGCAGGGTCTGGTTGGCTTTATTAGGTACAATGCTGCTTTTTTGGTATGCAAAACAAAGGGGAAATAAACCCCTTGCAGCTATGCAGAGTGCATGAGGAATTCAAAATGAGTTACACTTCATTCTGACCCCCTGGTTTAGCATTTTAAAGTGGTACATGAACAATTACAAAACACACTATACCACATTGTAGTGTAGCTGTAAACAGATGTATAAGACACTTTAGTGTTGACTATTGATCGGTTATGTCAATTCATCTATTTTGTCTTCTGTAACTGTTATTTACTGTCCAGGAATATGCTGTTGGGCATTGATTATTCATGCAACAAAGTTAGTGTGTTGTTTGTTTTTGTTCCTGAGTATAACTGTGTACTGTATACACAGTAGCCTGTATATACTGTACAATCAAACATTTTATAACTTTTCAGATTCAAACCCAAAAGCCTCTGTAAAGCATGTGGAAAGGCCTGCTCTGTGGATGACTCAGCTAAGTTAACCAAATAACTCAGTAAGCCAGACTCTTGCACTGATAAGTACATAGTATAATTGTATTAACGTAATTAGGTATGCACTATTTGTTATATGAATACTGAGAAATGCTTGCTAAATATGCTAAATAAATGTTAGCAAACTCTGTCTCAGTGTGTGATTGGACATTGTAGTTTCTACAATATTTTTTTCATTAATACATTCACCAACTAATACTTGTTAAGGTTTTATGAATATACTTGTTTACTATTCATTAGCCTAAAAAAGAAACTTACAGTAAAGCATTTTTTAAACTATATTTATAAATAACTTATATAACAAATCAGAGAACTTTATACATGTTTATGTTTCATTTACAGTTTATGTACAGTTATAAATGCTTTATAGAAGAGTTATAGATGTTAATAAATACATTAATAAATACTTTTAAAAAATGCCTTATATCTAGTTGTAATTGCATTATAGTGTGTTATAAATAAATTCTTAATAGTTTTTATTCTGCTAATAATTGCTAAATGGGGGTGTTAATGTCTATTACCCAAAATGGCTACTGAACTAGCAGCTTTGATGAATTGTTTTTTACATTTTTATTGGTTAACATTGCGTAATTTTTCAACAAAATATGAAATCTATGATGTTATTTTCTAATTTGCCACATATTGGTGTAGGAGCACATAAGGACATAAAGACAGTAAGAAATATTGCAGCATCCAAAAACATCAAAAGAAATATCCTCGCTCCATTCCATTTGAATTGAGACTTAAAATGAAAGATCTGAAAGCTCTCTTTTTGTTTTCTAATGAAATGCAAAACCCAAAGGTGGGCAGTTGGAATAAAATAACATGCCACTGAGTATAATTAAAAACTAAAGGGCTGTTTGATAAACTGGGGCTAAAGCTTTAACAAGTGCTTGTAACAGGAGGTGGCTTAAATAAAAGTGACAGGTAGGTATCGTTCGAAAAACAGAGTGAGTTTTTATTAGTACGAAGAGGAGAGGAGAGGAGAGGAGAGGAGAGGAGAGAGGAGGGGGAGAGGTAATGAGATACAATTTCAATAAGAGGGTTGTGTTTTTTTCTACAAAAAGACTAGCTTGGGGCAGCCAGCCACAGCTGCTCAGTGTGGATGAAGGTGGAGGGTAGAGGAAGGTGGGCGGCGTATAGTTCCAGAAATACGAGCTTTGACTCACCACTGATTGTTGTCTGTATGTGTTTTTCCAGGACACAGTTAGTCAGATTTATGACCGTTAAAGGCTCAAACTAAAATATGCCCTCGAGGCAGATTTGGCTTAAAAAAACCCTAGGATTATAAATATTCTTCATCAGATGCATTTGAATTCTAAACCTATGGCACAAATACAACATGTATTAGAAGAAAATGTTTTACACCTCGTCTCCAGTTTATTCTTCTGAGCTTGTTTCACCTGATAGCACTGATTTCTTCTCTACAGTTGGTTTTCTTTGCAGTGTATGTGCTTTGGAATAAGACATACTAGCATCATCATGTTTGTAGGTTGTATGTACACAGCCTGTCTTGAAATTCAGATGTAAGTGTAGTGTAAAAAAAGGCTACAACTTGAAATTTTCCTCTCTCTCTCTGTCGCAGGTGGAGCGTGATGACTGCAGCCCCCACAACGTGACACTGGGTTACTACGTGACCAGCGGCAAAACTGTCTACATTTCCTCCTTGGTGGTTGAGGCGCTGAATGTGTACGGTTTTGACAAGCTGCTGTCGGACATCAGGCAGCACACCCCGTTGGTTAAGGCAGTTTTGGTTCCTGTGGCAACCTGGGTGCCCACTCCGAGCATTCACCTGCAGCTAAAAACAGGTGATGAAACCTGATGGAAAATAAGATAAAAGAGCTCAACCTTTACATAACACAGTCCAACAGAAATGGTGTTCGTTCTGGTGGAGTGTGAAAGGATAAAGAAAAGCAGAGGTTAGAGATTTGCAGAGAGGAGGATGGAGAGAATATGAGCAGGGGGAGAGCAGAGAGATAGAAAATGCAATGAGAGTACAGGGAGGGAGACACAGGGGAAGACAAAATTAGAAAATTCTGATTACATGTCTGCTCTCCTTTACTCTTCTCTGATACCCTAAATCCCATACAAACTCCCATGATTGCAGAGCAAAGGCAAATTGGTCCATTCATTTAGTCAGCCTCTTAAGCCTCTTTAAAAAACACATTTCAGCGCGCGCGCGCGCACACGCACACACACACACACACACACACACACACACACTAAATCGAGTCTTGTGGGAACAAGGGTAGGGAAAATCAGTGCAATTAACAAATTGTTATTTAAAAGATACATGTGCAGATTGGAAACCCATTACTTTTCTCAACTATTAATAGTTTTTTTTAAATTGTTCAGTGTCCAGTTTGATTTATCTCAAAAGAATTTAGTAGATTTTGCAGTGCTGTTACAGATCAAATTAAAACTGGCCTCTGCATTATTTACATAATTATGCAATACCTTAAAGCAGCACTAATAAATATATTTATATTAACAATGGGTCATGTAGACATGCAAAGTAAAAGGGGTCGCTCATAGTGATAAACCCATAGAGAGCTCTCATCAACCTTGTTTACAGCAGCATCAGATATGTGTTCTTAGTGAATCAACTCTAATAAACCCACCGTACAATGCCTGCCCAGCACCAAACGGCGGCCAAAGTTAGCATTAGCTCTTACTGTATTTTAGATCCAAAGGCGCTATGTTTAATCTTAAACATAGCGCCTTTTATCACCAGTGGGATTCTGCGCTGTGTCAACATGGCCAAATTACACATTTTACTGCTCGTAGTGGGGTGTATACTGCCGTAAAGACTATTCCCAACTGTTACTGAAATATTACTCAACTACAAGTGTTAAAAAAACTATTTTTAAAAAAAAAAAAAAAAAAATTTTAATATATAGGTAAAGCTGTAGAACAAATAATTAGTATACATTTCTCCAGGCTTGTTTCCTGTTTCTCCAAAACTTCTCCAAAATGACTTCCTGCTCCAGCCAGTGGTCAGTGTTGTCACATCTCCAAACCTGTGCCTGCTGCAGCATCTCTTTTCATGGCTATCATTGGCCCGCAGTGTGCTGCTGGACTTGTGGCGCGAGGCCCGTAGTGCACGGAAAAAATAGAACATACACTGTAGATCGCGAGCTGGCCGTGGAGCTCATCATGGGCACTGAAAGGAAGTGGGCAGCGCTTCATGGTGCTTCTGCCTCATGTGTCCCTGGCTAATGGTTACAAGATAAAGATGATAGGTTTGGATATAAATTGCTGGCCTACTCAGCAGCAAATTATGATTTTAGAAGTAGCCAAGTAGCTTACATAGTGTAAGGCAACAAAATTGCAGGCTTAAAAAATACTTATTGAGGTACAAGAACCCCAAAAAATGGCTTAATTACAGAAACATGAGTAGTTGTAATTTGTTACCCCTGGTTCCCTGGTTAGTGTGCAGCTATGTATCAAGTAGCCAATAACTCCATTTCTGGCTTGTTCAGCATATAAACCACAAATACGCAGTATATCCCAATTTACCATCCACAGCCCAATTTGCATAAGATTACCAACTGGGTCAACACTGTTTGTGCCTGCAATGTGTTGCAGACTATGAGACTAGTGAAGTCTTTTTTTTTTTTGGAGATGTACCCTACACTCATAAGCACCACAGCGTTTGAATTTAGGTCAGAATATTGTTCCACCTCTCCTAGCCCAGTCCTTTTAGAGGTTTTATACAAGAGCAGAGAAAGACAGAGTGCAGGGAGAGAATGGAGGGCGACTGCGGTAAGAGGACTGAGACAACATTAATAACATCCCCCATAATCTGCTGATGGACTCAATATTGTTTACCCCATTCCTGACTGACAACTACTCTTTTCATTGTTCTCATTCTAGATAGTGGCGATAATCCTCTTTTTCTGTCTCACTGCTTAGGTTTATCGGTCACACAGACAACATCTATCTAGAGCGCTGCTTTCATTAATACCAAAAACACAGCCCCAGATAGTCTCTAAATAATTTCTCTTTCTCTGCTGCTTCAGTTACTGGTTCTGACATCAGATAAGATAGATTTTGTTGGTGCTGTATTTGTATTAAACAGTTTGATCTTTAAATAATAATGTGAGCAGCAATATGGTTCTAAAACTAGTAGAACTTGATCTGAACTTCAATAAAAATTAATGAATATTCAGTGGGTATATTTTGTGATCTCAAAACAGCATGTGATACTATTGACCATGGGTTACTACTGAAGGAATTAGAAATATATGGCATTAGACTGGTTGTACATGTCAAAAACAAAGTACTGATTTGTAGTAAGTAATTGCCATTTTTCTGTCTGAAATGAATTTCAATTTCAATATCAATTAAATATAATTTTCTACAATTATCTTTTCTCCCAGTGTTGAGGTTCGTGGGCCCAACAGATAACATCTACTCCTGCAGTTTTGTCCAGATGTTGGAGCAGAGACTGGAAAACGCCTATGACGAGGCTCAGGACAAAGTGCTGGAGACCTATAACAGGCTCGCCGTGGAGGTACTACATGGGTTCATGGATGCTATTTAGTGCAAAATGCACACAGCCAAGTCTGAATATTTGCATGTAGCATGCTGATAAAGCTCTGTGTAAAATTCTGGATGCCTACAATCATACAATTATTTATGTGACTGCTACATTCTGGCCACGCTGTTCCACAGTGCAAGTGCTTTACTGCAAATTAACACATAAAACACATCAAATTGCTCTGTAATTTTTCAATGAAAGGTCACAAAAGACAGACAGGTTTGGAGGTAATTTACACTTAAAGGAGGGAGCAACTGTAGCGGCCTGTAATGGTTTATTTTAGGCAATGCAATCAAAGCTCATTCTTCTACAACGCTGTTACAGGTTTATAACATTTTCAGTTATTTTACCGTCCTTTGTTCTCTCTCCGTTTGGCTATTAAGGTACTTTCATGACTGCAAGATATACATGCACACAGCATCATAATCATAAAGTAGGTCTCAGCAAGCAGAGGCAGATATAGAGTCCATTCATAATTCATCCTCTGAAATATTAACACTCATGGAGGATTGTGATGGGAATTCCTGGTATTTCTTATCATCATCAAATTTACTATGGTGACTCAGTCACATTATTTGAGTGCAACACAGGTCTTATTATAGAATGAAAAGAACATTGTTCATTCAAAGTGTCATACTGTGTCTAAAGCTCTGTTATGCATTCCTTATGGGTATCTTAGATATTTGGTATGATACCATTAGATATTTCTGTATGAATGCTTGACTTCTACATGTGCTTACTGCTGCCTGTTTATGTGTTTGGTCTAAATAAAGAATTGAATCATTCTAATACGGCACCTTTAGGTTACATAGTAACTTATTATATTAGTTGAATCAAATAAAATATAAAAATGATTTGTTTGTGTGTTATCTTCAGATCCAGAGTGTGTCCCAGGAGCCAGGCTCTCCATCAGTCTCTTTGGTATATGTGGTGAAAAACCAGGATGCGATTCTTAACGGGACCATCTCCAGCGGCCTCCTCAATCAGCTGACCGCAGAGCTGGTGGGATACTTCCTGTTCTACCCACCGATGGTCATCGCTGAGCGTGAGTAAAGCCACAATTCACCTTAAGGTCTTTGATGATGACACATAGACCTAATTAATGATCAGTATATTTGAGGTCTGTGTGGTCTGCCTTCAGCTTGACTGTGCAGTCATCCTGCTGGTGTATAGTAGCTAATAAGTGGAAACAGCAGGAACGCGTATCACATTGCCTGGCTCATATGTGTGTGCAAACAAAATGGGTACCCACTCATACAAACATTCACAACATCACAAAAACTCCACTGGGTACCTTTTTAACAGTATACTGCTCAAACAGCAGCTGTACTTTAGCTGCTAAATAAAGAACGTCTTTACTTGGTAGAAAATGCTTTTTACCATTCAGTGAGGACGTTTTGGTAGCTAGTTCAGGCAGTCAACTCTGTTCTGCCACCACAATAACATGGCATACTCCTATCACTACAGTGTATGTCCATCGCACTATTTTCATTTGGTGGTGTACTTTAACTGCCTTGCCTGCTGGCATCTGAAAGCTCGGCTGAACGTGATATTTTCCTGTGGGGAGTGACCTGGTCAGAGCCAAGACACCCACATTCACATGATAACCCAGTCCATGTGCTTTGACTGACTGAAAAATATTTTTCACTTACCTGGTGGTATCTAGCCATGCAGATACTTTTGGTTTTGTTTGCCCAGAGATACAATAGGTGTATTCTGCATCCACTGTATCCTGTCTTGAGAAATGTCCTTGTTACCAAAACGTAGACTATTTTCTTTTGAATTGAATTTTGATTTCCCCAAAAAGAGACACAAGCATGTGGTGTGTGTGTGTTGCTGCTCACCATATTCTGCATACACCCCCTTAAAATGTCAGTGAATTAAATTTAGTTTGGAACTACTTTCTACCAAAGTAACCGTCCCCTCTAATGCAGTAACCACAATAATGAAATGCCACGCTATTGAGAAGCCACTGGCACAGGATGACAAGCCACTGCCACTACCACACGTGATGTCACATCAACACATCATGTTCAGTATTTGTTTTTTATTATAGAAGTGTCCCAGAGCGGCGAGGCTGAAGAGACGCAGAAGTGCTGTCTGAAACGCAGTGCTGCTCAATATGCCTCAATTCACAGCCCAGGATTACAATACCACACAGGAGAAAGTCACATTGCTTCTGCATCACCTGTGTGGAAAAACTCCAGACTAGAAACAAAAAGCCAACTGGTCCGCTAATTAACCCAATTCACCACAGCTGGGGCATTTGTCCAGCAGCTCACCAGTGTTTCGGTTTAAGTAGTGACCCTGTTAACTAGCGACTTTGACTAAATAAAGTTAACAGGTTCACAGACCCAAGAGGTAGGAAGAGAAAGTGCATGTGATTAGTACTGAGCAGGTACTGAGATTAAACATTGTCCTGCTGTACCCCCAACAAAGCAAAAATAACAAAAATGGCGATGATATGGCATACCACACTGTTGAGCCACCCTAAATCACCGAAGGAGAAATTCCTTCACCATGACAGCATTACCCTCTATAGGTCCTGTGGATTATCTGGAGTAATAAGGACAAAGACATGCTTGTCTTGAATTTTTCAATGCTGTTATCAACAATAAAATTTCATTGACCTCCATTATATTAAAACTATCTGCATGGCTAGATATCACCACAGGTTAAGTGATAAAATATGTTTTTTTAAATGGGTGACCTGACCTTTTAAAGTTTGGACCTACAATTAACTTTATAGCAGTGAACATATTTGTAGTAATTAATTCTGTATTGAATACAGAGAGGTCTGATGATCTCAGAGCTCTCCACACAATGAAAGGTCTCATATTCATATGCAAATTAGCAAGTTAGGTCATCTGGCAACTTGTCTGGAAATTTTGAGCAGCCAGCAGCTACATGAGTTGGCGTCACTGCTCGTGGACATTTCATCCCTCACTCATTGCTCATTTCTGAGCAATCACAGCAGCAAACAGTTGCTTTGCTCTTATGACTATACATAAAGACTTGGCTAGCATTGCCTAACCCAGAATTTATGGTGTCTAGTAGCCAACAAATTCAGTCAGGGTACTTCATACTCATTCACTTGATGTACCTCCAGGCCATCTTCTCATAGGCACTGCTGGACAATTATGATGCATTTGTAATTATTCAGAGGGCTCTAAGTGACAATGACAATGAGCAATTTATCTGTGGATGAAGCACGTGGCTCTGATGGCAGTGTTTAACACAGATGTACTAATGTTTAGCTAAATGCTGTAGTGACACATCAACTTTTTGAGTCAATGCACCACACCAGAGTTTATTTCCATAATACTATCAAAAACAACATTATGTGCGTCTGCCATTTTAAGAGTTTTATCCAAACTGAAGTTTTAAGAGCTGAAGTACAATGCAAATCAGGACTGGTGCTGACATTCCACTGACTTGACATTATGTTATCCTACTGGGTGTTATTTTAGCTCACTCACACACACTGGAAAGTTACTCTCTTTATTACAGTCAGTGCTCATTTATAGTTGAAAATGTGACTTTTTAGACATAGAAATCTTTGTTAGGCTTTTAATCATCTCTCTAACTTTTATTAGCTCATTTTCTTCCTCTACTGCTTAATTTTTTGCACCTTTTCTCCAAGGTAAAGACCACACTGCTAGAATTGGACGTGCTGATGAACGTCTTGCATCAAGATATATATATATATTACAGCAAAATAACCACTAATGTGATAATAAAGTGTGAGGGAGCTATATTTTCTAACTAGCTTTAGTGTTGCCCTCAGGCTGTGAGGGTTGACTTGAAAACACAAAGCACATGCCTGCTCAGTGTGTTTTATGAGTTTTTCAGCAGCAGGAAGGGAACAAGTGTAGAGAGCTGCACTTGAGTCCTAAAAAAGATTTTTGCATTCAGAGCTTTATTTTAGTCTTAAAAGGCTCAGCAGACAGGGGTTGGAGGTAGGATGGAGGACTGCGGTCTCCGGTCTTTGCATGCTACTTTATTGTCATTACATAACCACTGTTGTCCTGCTTCTTCTCTGTAGCAGTGTGCTGTTGCATTGAGACAGACTTACATAGCCATATGTATGGTGCCTTCAACAACACTGACTACTGAGAACCATTGGGTCCACTGCAGGGCAATGCATGATTCATGACTTAGCGTATGTTTGACCTGCTTCTCAAAGGGGGGGAATTCAGGATTAATCTATATTGTGGCCTCCAGCATAGAAGGAGCCTCAGACGTATACTACATACCACTAATTTGCTTTTCCAAATGCATTTGTAGGAAACATGTATTTTTCCAGTACATTAAGTTTGACATTGTTTTGCTGCATAGGGGCCGTGTCCACATAGTGTATTTGTCGGAGCACCAACATCTTTTTCTCCATTGTTACTAATGAGGGGAGAGTGTATAGAGAAAAGGCGCTGAACCCGGGCGTCTCTTTTCAGAGCGCTCCGCCTTTTTTGTGAAGCCGCTCTGGTGCCTCTGGTTGAAAATCTCATCAGAAAGGCACTGGTGTTGTCACTGCTGCTCATTTTCAGGCAACCAGTCATATATTAGATGGGGGACTAATCACTATTAACCAAGAAAATGGAGAAGTTTGTTTTGACTGTGTGATTTGTATATATGTCAGACATAAACTATCATAACAGAGACAGAAAATAAATGAAACTATGCTGAGAGTTCTCTACAACGTTTTACTGTCATTTAAATCACAGCACGGGTGCTAGATTCTCTTCTCTCTCCTCTGCTTGTTTGGTGGGGCTCAGCTCCCACACACGGAGTGGACAGCTGTCCATGGTGGAGACAGTGAACTGGGTGAAGTGAAGGGAGTTGATGACAACTCAGCTACAACTAAAAACATGAACCACCACAGGCTACTGGTCATACCAGAGCAAATACAGCTGTAGAATCAGAAATTTTACATTGGACTTGCATTGATCAGGAGGACGTAAAACAATTGGTTTGTGATGTACAGCTTGTTGTGAACATGTCCAAAACTGATTAGTGCTGCTTTAATGTTAGGGAAAGAGGATGGGTTTGGTTAAATATTAAAAGCCACTTTAGCTCGGTTTGTATTCCACTCCAGCCTCTAATGCCATCTGTGAGATTTTAAAAGGGCAAACAGCTGTACAGCTCCTATCATCTGAATCATGCCACAGGCAATCTGTTGTCCATGCCCCCTGAATGAGCTAATTTTAGCCCAGTGAGATTAGATAAGTATCTAGTTGTGCATGCTCTCAAACACCCAAAGGGCTAAAACATCACACTTCACATGGTCACATCCAAACCCACTTGGCATCACCACGGAAATCCTGTCTGTTCCCTTTTACAAATCGTGAAACAATGAGCAAATGATTAAAGAATCATATATAGTGATAAATTAGATTAATGATCGGTTGAGGAATGCATGCAAATACTCAGACACATCAGTGATGCATAGTCTGTGTTTACACTGAGAGCACAAATAGATGATTAATTCTCATGTGATCAAAGCAGCCAGAATATTGACCTTCACTGTCTGTCTACATGTAGAGGAGTCTATGCGGACAGCTGCCTCCACGTCTACAACATGTAACCGTTTAACTGGAGAGTACTGTGAACTAAAGTGAACTGGAGACTCATTCACCATCTGTACTTTGGAGGGTAAACAACACATGTGCAGCCCTCTTTCTCACTTCCTGACCAACAATATATATGCAGATTTATTTAGGATAAGCCCTTTGAAATGGGTTGTCTTGTTTTCAAATCCCACAACAGTACAAATAATCAAGGTTAGAGATTTACATTAACGTCATAATATCTTACTTAAAAAATATATAAATCTTACGCTGGGAACTGTTGCTTTAAAGAATACAACTGGCAATATTCTGTATTTTTGTTAATGTAAATAATAGACAAGAAAGTTCTACTGCTGGAAATATTCACTAGAGCACCAAATCTGTATTACACCGCAACTGAAAATAATCCCTAATAAATACAGAATTAACTGCTGTTTGAGTAACATTGTCTAAAAACTACAGTGCCCAGCTGGTTTAGGATGTTCTGGATCCTTAAAAAAGAAAGAAACTATAGTTTTATGTGACACGTTCTTCCATAAGAATAAATGAGCTAGAACGTATTGAGAGACAGACAGTTCATTGTTGGTTTTGGTCTTTTGTTGGTGGTAGGACAAATATAGAATCTAATAATGAACAAATATAAAATAGGTTTAAACCTATCTTATATTTGTTCATTATTAGATTGGAGCAGGAGCTTTTTCTATTTCTTCTCATCTTTTTTGGAATTATACAACAAAAGTTTCCAGCTGCTGTGGTTTTGTGGGCCCGCTGAACTGATTCTCTAAAGGCCACTGAAAGCATCTGAACCTTAACACTTCATTGCTGTTTGTCTTAAGTGTTTAGTTGGAGGAGAGCTCAGTGAATGTAAATGTGCTCACGTACAGAGGCATCAGGGAGGCAGCAGCAGACAGAGCGCTGAGCAGAAACATTCGCAGGGTTTAACAGCTACCACTGCTGCAACGCCATTGACTCGAGCTAAGCACAACTCTCAGCAGAAGGCCAGCTCGGAGGAGTTAGGTGGAGACAGATGGTGAAACAGGCAGATGGGAAATAAGGAAAGATGGGTTGATTGATGAATAGGACACAGAAAGAGGTCGACGGGCTGAGAGAGTGATGATGGGTAGATAAAGACAGAAGGAGACAGTCGGCTTGGACGGAAAGGAACAGGTATTTTAGGAAATAAATATGCTGACAGGTAAACAGGTAGGGAATGAGGCAGGTACAGAGGCACGCAGGCAGAAAGAAAGAATGGATAGAGGAAGCAAGACAGTGAGAGGTAAGAAAGTAAGAGTTGATAATGAGACCTGACAAGGAGTGTTTAATCGGATTTTATCATCCGTGCAAAGGGCCAGTGCTAAGAATCTGCTCCTCCTTTTTTTTCATGACAGGGCAAGACAAAGAAACAACCAAACAACAAAAAAGGCAGAAATTCAGATAAGATTAAGTGATTAACAGGAGGAACCTGAGTAAGTTTAAGATATAACATTTTCTTATTGTACTATGCATATGAGTAGGTGTATGTGTGAGTATGGGAGTTGTGTGTGTAAGGATATAGGAGGAAGAGAGTGAGAAGGCAAGGGCGGTATATTATTATTATTATTATTATGATAGTTATTATTTATATATATAGATCTGTTGCTGTGGCACACTAACATACATACTGTCACATATGGCCTCCAAAAAGCTTTTAGCAAATGAATCACGTCTGAACTTAAACGGGCATCTTCAGCTCATTATTACATTTTCTACAGTCCTTGCTCTGTGCAAAAATGCATTCTCAGGGCACAAGCTGATGAAGCTAATATATTTTCCAACATATTTTTCAAATTCTTCTGTCTAACTTGGAACTAACTCAGTCACTCCCTGAATTCCTCCACAAAACCCGACAGCCGTGTTTCCAACTGCAAATAGTATCTGAGGAGATTGTTGCAATCAAATATCTACGATTTATAAACCTGGGCATGAACGTTGCCCAAGGCTGGATTTCCAAGTTGGCAAACAGGGCAACTGACCTTGCCCCATTTTAAGTTTCAAGTGCACTGTGGGTAAATTGGTTTGTCAGTTTGATTAATAGGACTTTTTCTCCACAGTAGGAAAAGCTGAGGTGTAAATAATAAAATGAATGATGGCTGAATTCCATTTAGCTGCTTCAGTTTCAGGGTCCTCGTATTGTTTATGTTGGCTCACTGTCACACTGTCATGGCTTACTGGGACACTTGATGCAACAGAGCCATCGTTAATGTTAATAGTAACACCTGTGCTTTAATATCTTTCTGGTTAAACAACACTGTTTTCTCTGATGTCAGTGGTATATATGTGACTGAATAGAAAGCAAATGTACAAGATGAGATACGTCACCTAAAGACCTGGCTTAATACATGTTTGATGACCAAAAACAGCCAAACAAAAAAAAAAATCAAAATTAGCAAGCACTAAGGCTTGAATGAAGCTTTCTAAAAGTTGCAGATATCTGTAACATCTCTTCCTCTCTCTCTCTTTCTCTCCTCAGCCCTTGAATACCATAATCTGAACACATCGATGGCAACCAAGAACTATTGGGTGATAACAGGTAAATTGCTCTTGTGCACACACACACACACAGCACACCACACGCAGCACACCCACACACCACACAAAAACAAAAAAACAACACACACAGACAAAAGTGCTACTGGGTGATCAGCGGTAATCAAGAGCCGTATCGATTGGACAAAACAGCAGTTAGTTAAATGCCCCGGCGCTCGCTGTTGTGCAATTCAGCAGAATAGTATTGGTTCTCCACATTTTCCTCTCCTCCCTCCCACCTCCCTACTCCCTTTGCCTGCTCGCTCCCTTTCCCACCTGCTCTCAGTGCTTAGAGTGTCTTTAGCCGCTCTGTTCCTGGGAAAACCTATTGATGTATAATTCACAGCTTCCTGACTGGGGCAGAGGGAGAGATCACTTCACATCACATCACAGCCGGGTGTGAATGATGCTGAAGAGTGTGTGTGTGTGTGTGAGAAGTCTGTCCACTGCTCCATCTCACTTATAGCCTCTAGTAAGAGACGCACTCAGAGCAAGATTGATGCAAGCACCTGTGTGTGTGTTTGTGTTTGTTTCTGTGAGGAGGAGACATGCACACAGTGTGTGTTGCTACAGCTGTAATAGAAGTTTCTGGATGAGCAGCTTTTAAGTGGAAGGGACGATCATCCAGTCCTCTCTAATATCACACTCATCTCCAGTCTGTTGTCTCTCTTCGCCTCCCCTATTCTCTTCAATATCAATATCGTCCTCATATGATCTCCCTTTGATATTTTCTACTCCATCTTCACCTCTTTCCCATACTCCCCCCGTCCTCGTTTGCTCCTTCCCTCCCTCTGCTCTACTCTTGCCTCATGTTGTCGTTCCCATCCCATCCTCCATCCCCTTACCGGTCTCCTCTTTCACCCCTCTTTGCCCGCTCTTTACTCCCTAAATCCCTCTGTCCTCTCTGGTCTCTCCTTACAGTGATCCAGGATGTGGACAGCTCCTCCCTGGAGGCCAACTACCAGAGCTTTGCCAGCCTGATGGAGCAGCGGCTGGCTGAGCTCTTCCTGGTGGCCGGCAGGCAGGGCTCTCGGACGGTGCGATCTCGGCGGGCCACCACCGTCGGGAGCTACACTGTGCAGGTGGGTGGGAATGGGATTCATTGTATGTCATTGCGTGAATTACCATTCTTGTCTTCAGAAGAACCAGTTTGCTCCTTAACAAGTAAAAGTCACTCAAGTGAACAATTAATCTGCATGTTTCTGTGAAAGCTATCTCAATTTTGTGCGATGTAGTTGAACAGGATCCACTGTGATATTTCTGGGCCTCTGTGGAGAAGACAACACAAGTTCACTCAGCAGAAGCAAAAAATAATGGAGATAATAATGAGAGTCTACAGTCATGCTAGCTTCTCTGAGTGGCTGTACAGTACTGACAGTAAGCATGGCAGTGCTTTGATCTGAATGCTAATGTCAGCATGCTCACTATGGCGATGTTAACATGCTGATGTTGTAGCAGGTGTAATGTTTACCATGCTCATCAACCTAGTTTAGCGTGTTGGTATGCTTGCACACATAAAAGTATGGTGTAACTGATATTATTTAATTCATTGTTATATTATATCATTCATTTTTGACCTGATGGTGGCACTAGATGAGAGGTCAGGAGATCACTGAAATCATTTGGATTGATCCTCTGTGAAACATGAATTTCTATACCATCATTTGTGCCAATGCATATAGTAATGTAGAGATTTCACTGAATAAGTAGAAACTTATACCTGACATACCGACCGACTGTCAGTGCCAACCATAGCACCCCACTGTTGGTGGGGCTCTTGGATATGTAAGTGTATAGTGAGTGAATGAATATCCTGATCTGAAAGCAAACTCTTGGTCATCAGTGCCGGCTCAGACAGTGCAGGTCAGTGAATATCTGGGACAGCTCCACATTCAGGACCCTGGACAGCACCCTCCTCTTATTGGTGTATATTAGTAATTGTCTGCAGAGGAATGCTCATAAATGATTGATTGACATGTTACTTCTACTTTAAAGTGTTATATCAATCAATAATAATAAATAATAATCTTAACTTTCAGAATCTGGTGCTTTACTTCATCTTATGTGATAATAAACTGAATATTTGGGGGTTTTGGACCATTGGTCGACTATTGCTGGCATCAACTAAAAATTTAGAGATTGTTTTTATAGACCAAACAATCAAATATATTCAGAGGATAAATAAAAGAAATATATCTTCAGTTGCAGTTAATAATAATAATAATAATAATAATTTCTTGCATTAAAAAGGTTGCTGTATGGGAGCAGACTCCAAGAGTCATTTATGCAGTCAGAGTATCTTTGAATGCATTAACAAGAGGGTTATGCTTTTCAATACATACATACAATATCAAACCTTCAAACACAATTAATAAAAATGCAAATTTATCAGTAATGATTATAAAATACATTGCTCTCTGCCAGTACATTTCTATTGCACACTGAAATGAAACAATTGGCTGCCAATGGAAAGCATGCAGTGATTAGTGATCAGACTACTTTGGGAGTCAGTTACTGATTGCAGATTAAATGTAAATTTTTGTCAAAATTTAAACATTGAACTAACTTATATTTATTATCCGTGTTGAAAACCATTATTGTGTTTAGCGCGGTTGTTAGTCCACTTGCAATTCCATGGTGCCTTGAGTTTGTCTAACAATCAGAGGTTGTGTTGCAGCTCTGGACTCAAGTGCCTTGCACAATGGAATAACATGTGACTGATCCCATTTGCCTGTCAACCTTTATAGACCTCAGAGGGTTTCCAGAGCATTGGTTATCAGAAGAAAAAGGTCATAATTTTTACAATTGACATATTTTAAAGGCGTAATCAAAAATGTAATCAAGTAATTCTTGACAATGTAACTATAATCAAATTACAATTTTTCCAAATGAAATCTGGGTTGACTATAGTTACTTATGTTTGTAATTTGATTGCATAATCTCGATTACATGTAATCAGTAACTACCCAACAGCATGTATTTGATATGTTAATACTATTCTATGAGAGCATGGTCCTTTAAATGATATGAGTGTTCTTGAACTGAAGGTACTCATAAGCACAGAAGAAACAACAAAGGTCTGTGTTTATGTTATTTTCTGTATGTGTCACCTCCCTGCCCGGTGTTCCATATTGTGCAAATTAAGACAACGATTGACTCCTCCTGGGCTTTGCGCCTTACGCAGACACAAGGTTTTATGGGAAGTCACAGACGACCAGTTTTATGTCTGCAGAAATGGAGGAGGGAGAGGCTTACAGAGGGGGGTGTGGGGTGCTACGACAGCTTGTAGCGAGGGTAGAAATCATCCAGCCATTTAATACCACACATCCCTTCTTTTTATGACAAAATCAAATTACCAGACTTGATTAAATCGTGTGATGTCTTCGTCAAATTAAAAAAAGGTGTTTGATGTATGATGAAAGGAAATTGAGATTTCAAGTGACTCAGTTATCCTTGAGTGTCTTCCCCAAGTGCAGTTATCTTGCAGCAAATGGCTCGTCATGATCAAAGCAGCTGATTCAGGATTTTGATTGGGTCGCTGTTGATATAGCAGGCACTTTTAATCTGTTGTGGGGGAGAGATAAAGGATTTTGTATTAAATCTGGCTATAAATGGTATGTTGAGCTGATATTCTCTATCTTTAAAATATACAATTCATACAACAATTCTCTTATCTATCAATTCTCGAGCTAATATGTAATGGTGACGTATGTGTATGCGCTATCAAATATAAACACTTTTTCACAAAATGCCATTATCAGCTTGAGATACTATTGGACACTTTCTTTGTCCTCTCCAGATGGTGAGCATGCGTCGACTGCCTGGTCCCAAGAACCCAGCAGAGATGACATACTACGTCCAGCAGAACGGAGCACCCATCACTGGAACCAACGCTGCCAAGACCCTCAGCAGTCTGGACTCTCAGACCATGGCTCTGACACTGGGATACTTTGTACAAGTGCAGGCTGAACGTAAGCTTATTGTCTTACTGTACAGTGTTATATAATTCATGTATTTGTCATATTTGTGAAGAGCCAAGCAAGTAAATCAGAAACTGATCAACAGACAAGAACACTCAACATAAAAAAGACAAAGGGACATTTATACCTTTCTGGCCAGACAATGAACACAAAAGGGGATCACAGGAGAGGATTCCTGACATATATTTAAAGACCCCCTCCAGTCAGAAATCAGTGTGTCTTCTTGTTCCTATAGTGTGCTGTTTGAGTGATGCCACCAGTGCACATCCACTG